TCAGCAGGATGGCTTACAAAGAGTTTTATGATGTTTCCACCTTCCTTTCCTCCTCCACATCAGTAGCTCAGTCCCCAGCAGCCCCCCTATCACCCAGCATATGTGCTCCACTACTTGGGGTCTTTGTACATGGGGTCTTTGTATCTCTGCTTGGGATGCCCTCCCCACAAGACAAACTGCTATCTGAAGACTCAGCTCAGGCACTGCTTCTTCCAAGAAGCCTTTCCACAGCCTCACTAGCCAGACTGGTGAGCCCCACTCTGTGCTTCCATAATCCTTCCATCACTGCAAATCTCATAATGCAATGAAATGACCCACTGGGGTTTGTCTTCCCCATAGATTATAAGCATCTCTCAGGCAGGTAGCATTCCCCTATTACCCTGGACCCGATGGCTCTCAATAATTGTTTGTTAAACTGAACTAAACTGCCTTAGGACCCTCCACTGCAGGGAAGTGCCCTCGAAGACCTCGATAAAAAGAAAAAAAAAGAACTTGAAAAGAGATAGAAGGTTGTTCCCTTACAGTCAAACCAATAATCGTCTCATAATGGATCTAATTAGTCACTGCTGGGTAAAAACCAAAATGGTCTACTGGTGCAAGGCTAAGAGGTTCTGAACTTCCACCACGCTCGTCAAGATGACCTGATGAAATCTCAGGGAGACAGGCCTGCGGTGACTAAATTCACAAAGCTGGAACCCCATCAGCTGCATCGTGTCTGATAAGAAGGACAAAGAGGGGGTTTGCTCACCCTGAATGAAACACGCAAGAGCAGGCGCAGACCTGAATCTGGCAGCCAGAAGAGTCACTAGAGAGAGGCCTAAGGAGAACAACACTCAAAGCATTTCACTTCCCTCTGCTCCAAGTCCATCCTCACCAAGCCAGCCACCTTCTAAGGACTCCCTCTGCTTCCGGGCACTGAGACTGGACCAGGGGCTGAATTATACACAAACTACTTTAGCCCCCAATCCTTCATCCAAACACTGGCTCTCACTGCCCACGTGATAACAAGTTAGACACCCAAGGTCCCCCGTCCTCAACATTTATGCTCCAACCACATGAGATTCCTCAAAATTCCTTTTCTTCCCATGCCCGCCTTTCCAGCAAACTTCTATTCATTTTTTAGGACCCAGTTCAAATGTCACCTCTTTATAAAGTATTCTCTAACTCTTCTTGGCCTTATCCACACCCCAGCACCACTCTTATCTCTTGCTCTACACTGATTTTTGCCCAATATTTAGCAACTGCTAAAAACCCAGCTTCACAAAGATATGACGTCATCAAAAGGGCTCTGGCGCCACCTAATGCTGAAATGGAACTGCCCAACCTAGTAGTTCCCAGGGCATCAGGCAAACGCAGCTGTGCTTCCGTGCTTCTCTTAAAAATTTAAAATCTCTCACTGGGCCCCTGTGAGTTTGCTGCAGTGCCTCAGCAGTTTGGGCACAGGGGATCAGGGGGTTTAACCTACTGGGAAGGTCTTGTTCTATTGTAATAAACCCTGAGTTATTCAATAGAATCCTTACTAATAAATAATTAGGTGATTTATAATTTCACACAATGTTGAAATAAAAATCCTTCTACATGTATCTTTATGTACCTGTACAATTATTTTGTTCATTCATTTATTCAAGTAACTTTTATTACATGCGTATTATGTGCCAGGCATTATTTGAGATGCTGGAAAAAGAAGTGAATACAAAGTCACTCGTGATATTTACATTCTACTGAGGAAACAAGAAAGAGAAAAACTAATCCTTTCAGGTACTGACCAGCTATGAAGTAAAATCAAGACTTGGGTTAGAGAAGGTTAAGGGTTTCTGCCCCTGGTATCAGCCCCCAAAAGCCTTCTGCATTTTTCAAGTGTTTTACAGTTTTGTTTTTTAGATTTCAACCTCAACCCCATCTGGAATTTATTCGGTGTGGTCTGAGTTCGGGAGGTTCTAACTCCTGACACAACTTTCGTACAGCTGAGCCTCCTCCTCTAGCAAACTTGTCTCCATCCACAAACAGAGCCATTCAATTCCATCCTCTCCAGCCCACTGGCTTCCTCCACTTTGCTCCACAAAGGGGTCCAAAGGGCCAACAGCTCTCCCGCCTCCCTCATCTTTCCTGCTTCCATTCTCAGTTCTCCTCCCCAGTCGGTTCTTCACAGGACCATCAAAGCAGTAATTTTTTTTAAATGTAAACTTGGTATCACTCTCCTGCTTATAATTCTCCAATGACTTCCTACTGAAAATAGAATGAAATCCAATGAATTCCTTACCATGATTTATAATATCCCACCTGGACTCTGCCCCACCTCATGCTTCTCCAAGAATGGTTTAATACTCTCCTTCCCACCCACTACACCCAGCCACCCTGGCCACCTTACAGCCCCCGAGGCACACCAAGTTATTCCCTCGTTCAGGCACTTTGCACTTGCTCTTTCCTCCGCCTGAAAAGCTACTGACCTAGAATCTATGGCCTATGACACTCGAGTAATGTCACCTCCTGAAACAGGCCTTCCCATACCCTGACATCACCCAATCTAAAGCAGCCTCACCTCGGTCACTCTCCATCGCATTACACCATCTCACTTTATGCAAGGCACTTGCCCTTAACTGAATTATCTTGTTCATTCATTTATTCGTGTTTATTGTCTGTCTCCCCTGCCCCTTCCCAAAGAAAGTGCTCTAGAAGGCAGGGTCTTTGTCTTTTTCAGCTCTGCATCCCCACCGTCTGTCACGTCTATAACGTAGCAGGTGCTCAATTAATAACTGTAGAGGGGGAGGGGAAAAAATCTGGGGCTCGGCTTCTCACCCAAAGGATTGGTGTTATATCTCTTAACGTCGGTATCTGCGGTGTGGAGTCAATCAACCTTCTCGCCCTCCTTCTCACCCTCCAGCCCCTCCTGCGGCCCGGCCCCTAGCTCGGACACAGAGCTAAGCTTGCTCACCCCCTAGGAAAATTTAATTCTCGTTGGCCGCGAAGCTGGACTCTGCACTGCCTTGGCGCCGCTGACCCATCCTCCCCGACTGTCCTCCTTTGGGCAGGGAAAAGCGCCAAGTTTCCGCGGCGGCCGTCAAGCCCCGCCCGCCACGCGGGCGGGAGGAGGAGTGAGAGGGCAGAGCCGCTTACCAGTTCATCCGGACTGAGGACTCCGAACTGCACTCTCTTGATGGTGCGCAGCGGGCATGCGCTGTCCCCGGAGGGGGGGCCACCCCCATGCATCGCGGAGGCAGGCGCGCTGCGCAGGCGCAAACCTCACTACAAAAAGCCTGCGCCGCCTGCACCTAGGCGTTCAGACCCTGTCGGGGCGGCCGCCGGGAAGGACCTCCCCGAGTTGGGAGGAAAAAGCCGGAGGAGGAAAAGGTGGGGGAGGAAAGGAGGCGGGGAAACGAAAAGGAGCGAAAGGAGCTCTCCTCCGCCTTTCCGGAGATTTTTCGTCTCCCAAAAAGAAAATAAAAAGAGGAAGGGAAAGGAAAAGGTTCTGGGGGAGGAAGAAGAAAAAGGGTAACGAATAAATAAGTAACCGGGCTCCTGAACGGCAGAGGTTACGGCAGTTTGTCTCTCCCCCTTCCGGGAGCCACCTTCTTCTCCAACCGTCCCGGCCGCGCTCTCGGCGCTTCTGAGGAGCGAATTGGCCGGATGACGCCCTTTATAGATTCGCCCTGGTATCCCCCGCCCCTTCCTTTCCCGCCCTCCCTTGCGCTACGGGGTCGACTGCGCCGGCGTGCACGGGGCGCGCGCTCGCGTCGTTGTTCCTCCCTCCCCGACTCCCTGGCTGGGTCACCTTTTGAAATGACGAGCTGGAAGGGAATTTTTTTTTATCCCGCCGCCTCCCCTCGCTACTACCTCCCGCCCTGAGGTTTAAGGTTTGAAGATTCGAGGGTAAATATAGGCCGCTTTTATTCTAGTTTGGCGTGTGGTTTCATCTTCAGCCAAAGTTTCTCATTAATATCACCCCCCCCACGCTGGAAAATGGTCTGTTCTGAGGTTCGGTAATGAAGGAGGCGGGGCCGGTCGGATCCTCCCAAGTGGGTTCCCGAAGAGGGGGAGTACTGGGGCCGTCCTTGGTCATGAATATGCAGTAATCGCGCTGAATATGCAAGAAAGGATCAACATGGCGAGGCCAATTGCTTGTCCGGAAGTAGCTGATATCTGTCGAGCGGCCTCCTGGGAGGGGTGGGCATCTCCTAGCCTCTAATGGGACGCTGTACGGAGCTCTCGTTCGGATCCTCGACCTGAGCCGCTCGAAGAGGTCTCAGCTCAGAGGCCTTCTCCGGAAGGACGCTGGCCACTGTCCGGGAGAGATCACGGGACTGCGACAATCCAGGAAAAGCAGATTAGCCATTGGATGGGACACAAAAATCCTGGGGGACTCAGGGTCAATGCCTCTGAACATTAGGAAATCCTACCCCTTCTAGAATATTTCAAAAATGGGGCGGGTGGTGATGGTGGTGGTGGTGCGGGGATCCCAAGGGATTCTCCAATAAGAGCAGGGGGTAGGACTTCCACTGTCCTTCCAAAGCAGAGATGACACCAACTGCACAGCCACATTCAGAGTGATCCTTGTTTGATGTCAATATCACGTCACCACCCCAAGGTGGGGAGGCATAACCACGAGGAAGGGAAACCATCGCTCAGAGAAAAAAAAACACACTCCCTTCCCCCACCGCAGCTGCTTGCTCTGTTTGCCTGAAAGCTCCAGACACTCCAGCCCCAAGGCTTTTCTCTCTGCCGCTGAGGGAAAAATCCTCCCGGTGGCTCATGGCCTGCCTGCCTCAGCCACTTTGATCTGCTCCTCAGACCTCCCTTCAAGCCCCAGCCTAGACTCCTGCTCTCCAGGCTTGTTCCAGGTCTTCCAGGCAGTCTTCTAGACAATCCCTCTCCACTGAGTCCCCAATTCACCCTTGACTCCAAGGGGGTGTCACTCTCCCACACTAGTTCTTTTACAGTCACTTGTTTTCCCATGTTTGTATTCCAGTTTTTCCTTCTATTTACCCAGTCCCTGCCACCCCACCCCCAGGCTCTCAAGTTCGATCTCACTCCACCTGCCCTTCCCTCTCACAGCTGAGGTTCTGGGTGGTGATGATGGCAATGCTGCCCAACACGACCTCTGCCCCCATGATGTCAGAAGGTGCCACGGTCTCATAGAGCACATAATACTGCAGCATCAGAGCCACCACCACCTCAGAGTGCAGGACGGCACACACCAGGGCAGGGTGGGCCTTGGTGACCGCATAACTGACACACACAAAGGAGACCAGGGTGAGGATCCCCACTGCCCCCACACAGCTCCAACTCAGAGGATCGTTAGGCAACACGGGGGTCTGCAGCAGAAAGAGGCCTGGCATGGAGCCCACCAGCCCCACCAAGCCAAACAGGAAGGCCACTGTCAGTAGGCAGGAGGGGAAGTCCAGGGAGCGGTACACCAGGAGGCCCAGCGACAGTGCCAGGCCACCCAGGAAAGTGAGCACATAGCCCAGGGCAGTGTAGAGGCCTGTGGTCCCCTCCTGCAGTGTCCCTAGTCCAGGTCCCACAATGATGATGAGTCCCAGGGTGCTGCCCAACAAGCCACACCAGTCATAGCCACTGAGACGCTGGCTCTCGAGGCAGAGGGCAAGGAGAGCAGAGCAGACAGTGGAAGAACCTTTGTGGACGGTGGCAGCATTGCCAGCGGGCACCACCTGAACCGCACTGTAGGCGCATCCGATGCTGAGGACGTTGAACAGGGCGTGGAGGCAGGCCCGGCCCCGGACATCGGGAGGTCCCAAGAGGGGGTCACCACGCAGTTTCAGCAGCAGGGCAATAGGGAGGTGGAAGAGGCATCGACAGATGAGCAGCTCCAGTGAGGGTAAGTGGGAAGCCTGGTAAGCCATACGGGAAAAGCGGCCCACGAAGCCAGCGGGCAGGCCCCCACCCAGCAGGGCCACGAGTGACATCAGAGGGCCGGCAGCGATGGTGCGAGGGGAGGCTGGACGGAGTGGAGGGCGGTGATGGCTGGGTGAGGTCAGGCAGGTTGAAGTAGGGGTGACAGCCAGCCTGTTAGGGAGAAAGGAGCACGGGCATTAGGGCAGCCATAGTCCAGGGGACCGGGGGTAGGGCGAATGCCAGGCTGGGTTCTGGGACCCTGTAGGGCAATAGAAGGGCAGGCTGTCTTGCCGAGGAACTCTTGGGAGCTAGAAAGGGCCTGAAAAGATGGATGAGGTGGTGCAGTGTGGGCCTGGAGCCTCTAAAGCAGGAATCAGGGCGTGAGCAGTCCTGGAGCATCGTGTTTCTCCGGGTAAGTTGTTCCCGGGAGAAGAAGAGGACCCAGGGATGCTCTGTTGGTTTGAGGAAGGGGAGGCGGCCTCAGATGCTGTGTATCTGTGTGATGTCACAGGTTCCAGGGACATCTGGGAACACCATTATGAATTTTGCTTGTGGGTGTCTAGGAAAGCTGGGAAGTTTTAGAGAAGGAAGGGGAAGGGAGCAGCCAGGCGCTACAGGGAAGGGGGCTGTGTGCCCCTGTGTCCCACACTCACCATCTTTCCCTTGGACTTCCTCTTCTCCTCTTGGCTCAGGGGCCCTGGGCCCTTCAGAGCTCCAGCCACTGTGAGCTGGTTGGAGGGGTGGTGGAATTCTTCCCTGGAACCTCCCTGAGGTGGGGGTGGGCCGATTTTCTCATTGTTTCCAACTCTGCTTGCTTTACATTTTTGTGACTCCAAAGTCTGTCTGATTCTTTTTTTCCTCTTTTCAACTACCTCTGTGATGAGATATCTTTGGTTTTTAGTTAATTTGTTTATTTATGTCTTGCCCGATTTCAGAAAGGTTTTATGGAAAGGACCTCTGAGGGCCAGCTCCTCTTTCTCCTGAGTTTTGAATTTTTGAACACCTGGGAGGAGTCTCTGGGACTGTCCCTCTGGAGTTTCAGGAATGTGTTTCTCCTCTGTGTGCTTCCACCTGGTGGTGTTGGTGCTGTCCCAGGAGGTCCACACCAAGTCCTCTGCATTTACGCAGAGTATATACATGTGGATATTTCTGCCGGTGGGAACAAAATAGCAAGCTGCGTGTTCATCTGCGCTGGTAGCCATTTACGTGTACCTGTTCTGTAGGGCTGGGGCGTTCCCAGCTCGCGGCCTGGGGGTGGGGGGGGGGGTCCCTGCGCATTTCTGGAGAGGGAGAGTGTGTGTGTGTGTGTTTCTCCAGGGCTGCCCCTTTGAGTGTGTTGAGACTGGGTCTGCGGGTCCCATTGGGCCTGATCGTGAGCCTGCCACGTTGTGTGTCTGCGGAGAGGGTGTGCGTGCTCTGGGCGGTGTGCACCACTGAGTGAAGGGCGTGCAGGGGGCGGGGGGGTGAACCCCTTCCCAGGGAGTGGGTGGTCGTGCGGCCCCGCGCCGCTGCTGCTGCAGCCAGGCCCGCGCCTAGCTCGGTGCCCACCCGTCCGGCCGCCCTGCGTGGCGCCGTTCCCTTCCTGGGATCGGTCCTGTCGCAGGCCGTCGGGCGCACTCGCCCAGAGCCCGAGCCCGGAGCCTGGTGTCTGTGTTTTTTTTTAAAGGAGAGTGATTAAAAATATTTTTTAAGGCATAGCTTTTAAATAATTGAAAAACATTTAGTTTAAGAAGGCTTTTTTGATAGCTTTTTAAAAATGCTTCCATTTTTTCCCTTAATGTCTTAAAAATATAAAAGGTATGAAATGTTCCCTTTTAACACATAGGTACAATTTCAGTTTCTCTTTGGACGTTGGGCATAAGGCCTCACTGCCATTCACTCTGTCATCATAGCAAGAAGAATCTGGGCCCCAGTGAGCCGGTGGGATCTGATGTATCAGTTTGAGAAGCTGAGTTTTATCATTAAAATTAAGTTGAAAACATTGAAAACAAAAAACACCAAAACCCTTCCTAGGAATATAATTCTCAGTGGTTTTTATGCACTTATACCTATGAAGCTACTTGAGTAAGGCAAGCTTTTCAGATTTTATACAGTAAATATGGGGATACTGATTTTTATGTTTTAACATGTCAATAAATTGAATCAAGCAGTCCTAATGACGAATTTGTAAAATAAAATTAATGAATGAATGCAGTTACTCTGGTTGAATTTTGGCAAGTCACTCCTGCTGTCTGGGCCCTGCTGGACCAGTGAGGATCACCTCTTCAGATCTTTCCAGCTCTGACATGTTGTACACTATCAAAGCCAGAGGCAGCTTTAAGACATGGTGTCCCAGAAAGCCAGCTAGTCCTTGCCAGGCAGGGGGGTGGGGGGAGGGGTGGGCCGCCGAGTGCCCTAGAGTTGGGGTGTGCGGGGTGCGCAGGGCGAGCAGGCGACCCGGAGCCGCCGCGCCGTCGGGGCAGGGTTGTGGCTGTGAGTCCTGGAGCTTGTGTGTCTCCTGCTGTGTTGTGGGGCAAGGTAAACCTCTCCTGGTCACCACTGTTGGCTGGTGCGGCAGCCAGGGGTCCTGCAGGGCTCTCCCGGGCTATGGGGACAGAAAGCCAGACGGAGAGGCTGTCCAGTGTTGTGGGGCAGCATTACAAGATGTGGCCCCGTGGCTTTGGGTGACAGGTCCGCATTTGAAGCCGGGCACAGTACCGGCAGAGTTTGTTAGGTGTGGGGTTTTATGTTTTACACCGGCGTGTGTTTTCTTGCACGTATGTGTCTGGCACTGCACATATGAACTATTTGGGAACTGTTGTTTTCTGCGTAGCTGGCGAGGGGTAAGTGCTGTGGAGGGCGCCGGAGTGCAGGGTGTTGTGTGCCCAGCTGGAGGGGGCAGTTGTGTACCCTTGAGTCTGAGTGGGAGGGTGTCGGGTCCGGTCCCGTTCATGCAGCCCTGCTGAGGTGTGGTCCAGTCTCGGAGAGGATGGCCCGCTGGAGGGGTTCTTGGGTCCATGTGACAGTCAGGTGGCACGGGGGAGGGAGGGCACGGGGGGTGCATGTCTAGAACTCAGGTCCCGCGGGTCCTTTAGGAAGTGAGAAGCCCCAGGGTGTGTCTCAGGTACCCATAGGGCGGCTGGCACCAGTGTGAGGTGCCCTGGGTGGAACATGCAGGTTGTGTTTATGGGATGGGGGCAGCCGAGCGAGGGGAAGGTTGTGTGTTTGCGACATTCCCTACGGGATTCTTTTGTGACGTCGTTTGTGGGAGCCCATCTGTGCTGTTGGGCTGGGAAGCGAGCTGGTCAGAAAACACTTGTGGGGAGGGCGATGGCGTGACAAGGGCCGTGTGGGCCTCGGACTCCAGAGATCAGCCGCGAGCTGTGTGTGCGTGCCTGCCTCTGCGTGTTGGAGTGGCCGTGTGGGGCTGCTGTGGGGATATGTTATGAAGAAGGCGGGGAGATAAATATGGGGCAGAGCAAGGGCAGCAGGCGGGAGGCCTGGGTGTTGTCGGGCAGCCCAGCTAGTCTGTGCAGGGTCTGTGTGCTAGCCCCTCGCCGGCCCGCCCAGCGCGTCAGGGTCACCGGGTGGAGAGGCCTGGCGGCTGCGAGGAAACTCAACTTGGACAGAGCAGCTCCTTGGCCATGTTTATGTAAAGGCCGGGTGTGACTCTTGTCACTGAAATGGAAAAAAGAAACGTGAAGTTTTCAGTCTCCTCCTGCTTCAACCCTCGCTCTGCCCCCTTGCAGGGATCTCTGCTATTCTGTCTCTTCTGTGATGCACACTGGGCCCCTCCTGTGACCGTGGAAGGGTCTGGGAATGGAATTTGCTCACTAAGCAGATTCCTCAGAACAGGTTTTCCTCACCTTTGGGGCCCAGGCCCTTCTGTAGATGTGTGTGTGTGTGTGTGTGTGTGTGTGTGTGTGTGTGTGTGTGTGTGTGTGTGTGTT